ATGCAAACCTGAAGAATTGGTTGAAGGAAAGTTGGAAGAGTGAGGACTAAATCTGGATGTAGTCAGGACAAAAATGGCCCTTTTTTATTTGTATTGATGTGTTGTTTTTGTCTCTCCTCTTTCTTAAAGGACAACTCACCCTCAAATCCACTTTTTTTTGCTGATAAACGATTTAAATGAGTGTCCAATAGTGTTGGGGAGGACATTCCTGGTCCCGCAAGATAAAACCATAATGAAAAGAACCTTAAATGATAAATCTATCACAAGGTTCAAAGAACTAATACAGCCTATGTTGAATACTGCTGCAGGTGAACCTGTTCACAGCAGCTGCAGTCCCTCAGTCATTGACCAAACGGTGGGCAACACTATGGAGTCTTTAAAATCTGCATTAAATGCAGCAGCTCCTTTAAAACAGAAAACCATTAGGATTAGATCATCGTCGCCCTGGTACAGTGTTCAACTCCACACTTTAAAACAGGACGTCAGAAAATTGGAGAGGCTATATCGCCACTCCCACTCGGAGCCTGTCCACAGGGAGTGGAAAGCAGGTCTCCGAAACTACAAGAAGGCCCTTCGCGGGGCTCGAACTCAATACTATTCAACTTTAATAGAAGCGAATAAAAACAACAGTAGATTTTTGTTTGGCACCGTCGCTAAACTCACAAACTGCCATAGCGCAATCGAGCCTAAAATTCCAAGCTCACTGAGCAGTGTCGACTTTCTCCACTTCTTTAATAATAAAATTACATCCATCCGTGACAAGCTGGAGGAGGTTGCTCCTGCTGTTAGTGGTGGACAGGTTGAAGCGGCATACGTGACTTCCCACTTAGACTCTTCAGTGGGCCTTAATAAATTCATGGCTGTGAGCCAAGCAGAGGTGATCTCTGTGGTCACATCCTCAAAAGCCTCAACTTGCATGTTAGACGCAGTCCCGACATGGCTCTTCAAAGACATACTTCCTTTGATAATTGAGCCTATCGTAAATATAATAAACGCATCCATACAATGTGGCTATGTCCCACAAGCTTTTAAAACCGCGGTAATCAAACCCCTTCTGAAGAAAACAAACCTGGACCCAGAAATACTTACAAACTACAGACCGATCTCAAACCTCACTTTTATATCTAAAATCCTGGAAAAACTTATAGCTGAGCAGCTCCGCTGCCACCTGCAGGAAAATGATATGTTTGAAGTCTTTCAATCAGGATTCAGAGCTCATCATAGCACTGAAACGGCACTAGTCAAAGTCACAAATGACTTACTACTAGCTGCCGATAATGGACAAGTGTCAGTGCTGGTCCTACTGGACCTTAGTGCTGCATTTGACACAATAGACCACAGCATTCTACTGCAGAGGCTAGAATGTGATATAGGTCTTAGAGGAACAGCCCTTGGCTGGTTTAAATCCTATTTATCAGATCGATATCACTTCGTCAATGTGAATCAGGACTCGTCGCCTTATTCTGGAGTGGAATTCGGTGTGCCGCAGGGTTCGGTACTCGGACCGATTCTTTTTACTCTCTACATGCTGCCACTGGGAAACATTATTAAAAAGCATGGAATTAATTTCCACTGCTATGCAGATGACACACAGCTTTATCTGTCGATGAAGCCTAATCAGACAGATCAGCTAGAAAAGCTCAGTGCCTGCATAAAGGACCTTAAAATGTGGATGACTCTTAACTTCCTACTTCTCAACCCGGAGAAGACAGAAGTGATCCTACTCGGTCCGAAGCGCCTGCGTGACTCCCTCACTAACCAGATGGTTACTCTCGATAATGTCAGTATAATACCCAGTAACACTGTGAGGAATCTTGGAGTCATTTTTGACCAAGAACTCTCCTTCAAGGCTTATATAAGCCAAGCAACTAAAACGGCGTACTTCCACTTACGGAACATCGCTAAAATTAGGAATTTCCTTCCTAAAAGTGACGCGGAAAAACTCATTCACGCGTTTGTCACCTCAAGGCTCGACTACTGTAACGCTTTACTGGCAGCGTGCCCTAAAGCCTCTTTGAAGAGCTTCCAGCTCGTTCAGAATACAGCAGCTAGGATCTTAACAGGTACCAAAAGGAGGGAGCACATAACTCCGGTGTTAAAATCACTCCACTGGCTCCCTGTGGAGTACAGAATAAAGTTTAAAATCCTACTCTTAACATATAAAGCCATAAATGGCTTGGCTCCCTCTTATCTCCAAGACACGTTAGTGTCGTATCAACCAGGTCGAGCGTTGCGCTCACAAAACGCCAGACGTCTGGTGGTCCCTAAGGTCTCAAAGGTCACTGTTGGTGGCAGAGCATTTAGCTACCAAGCTCCTTTACTGTGGAATCAGCTTCCCATTTATGTTAAGGAAGCAGATACGGTCTCCACATTCAAGGCCAGGCTTAAAGCACTTTACTTTAATTTAGCATATAATTAGGTAATATATAATATGTAGTGTATATATTATATATATATGCTGTATTATGTTATATATTATGTTATATATTATTCAATAATGTATTGTGTTATGTTGTATATTATGTTATATATTATGCTGTATGTTATTCTTTATTCAAGGCTAGGTTTAAAACAGTCCTCTTTAGTTTAGCATATGGCTAGGAAGGTAAGACTCGGAGAAGGTTAAACTCCTCAGAGTGTTAGTCAAGCTGCATAGGGAGTCAGTTTGCTGGGAGAAGTATGGTAACTTGAGCACTATCCTCTCCTCCTTCCTACTTTATCTGTTTAGCATTTTTAGGATTCTGACTGTAGTTTGTTCATTGCTATTCACCCGTTGTCCCATTGTCTGTTTCATGGTACGATGACGGGATCTCTGAGCCTGGCCTCTTCCATCTACACCTGCGGACTGCCCCGCCCGACCCGCCTGGGAGTGCTTCGGTCCTGCACCGGACCTGTCCACGTTCAGCGTCCACTGGTCCACGTTCTGTAGCTAGCTTAGGTCCTAGATCATTAGCCTGTCCGTCCGGAGGAGCGGATCCCTTTCTCATATGGGTCTCCCTCCCTGTGGGTTTCCCTAGTTCTCCTCCAAGGTTTCTCACTTTTTCCCACTGGGTTTTTTAAGAGTTTTTCCTTGTCGATGCAGGAGGGTCTTGTTGGACAGTTAGTGTCCAACAGAAAGGATTGGTGATGATCAGGACACTTTAGCATTCTACAACATGTATGGACATTTTCTTCTGTGTCTGCTTTATATTCTTCATGTGTTTTAACTGTTGATTCTCTGACCTGTGTTGGTGATTTCAATGGTTTTGTTAAGTCCTCTGAGATGACTTCTGTTGTGACCTAGGGCTATACAAGAATAAATTTTTGCGGATGATGTCGTCCTGCTGGCTCCAACGAACCAGGACCTGCAGCATGCACCGGGACGGTTTGCAGCCGAGTGTGAAGCGGCTGGGATGAGAATCAGCACCTCCAAATCCGAGGCCATGGTGCTCGACCGGAAAAAGGTGCCTTGCCCTCTCCAGGTGGGTGGAGAGGTCCTTCCTCAAGTGGAGGAGTTCAAGTATCTCGGGGTCTTGTTCACGAGTGAGGGGAGGATGGAGCGTGAGATTGACAGGCGGATCGGTGCAGCGTGCGCAGTGATGCGGTCTCTGTATCGGACCGTTGTGGTAAAGAGGGAGCTGAGCCGAAAGGCAAAGCTCTCAATTTACCGGTCAATCTTCGTTCCCTCCCTCACCTATGGTCATGAGCTGTGGGTAATGACCGAAAGAACAAGATCGCGGATACAAGCGGTCGAAATGAGCTTCCTCCGCAGAGTGGCTGGGCGCTCCCTTAGAGATAGGGTGAGGAGCTCGGTCACACGGGAGGAGCTCGGAGTAGGGCCGCTGCTTCTCCACGTCGAGAGGAACCAGTTGAGGTGGCTCGGGCATCTGTTCAGGATGCCTCCTGGACGCCTTCCTGGGGAGGTGTTCCAGGCACGTCCCACCGGGAGGAGGCCCCGGGGAAGACCCAGGACACGCTGGAGAGACTATGTCTCTCAGCTGGCCTGGGAACGCCTAGAGGTCCCCCCGGACGAGCTGGAGGAGGTGTGTGTGGATAGGGAAGTCTGGGCGTCTCTGCTTAGACTGCTGCCCCCGCGACCTGGCAACGGATAAAGCGGAAGAAAATGGATGGATGGATGGTATTGCTCACTCACAAATGTCTCACTGCCCTGTCCAGAGTGCGCAGCGAGTGCCGTGAGAGGTCGCGCCACATGTGCAGAAGTTTTGGCTCCAGATTTTCTTTGTGAAATCTGGACCGCAAACGCTCTCTGAAGTGTACAGCGCTTCAATGCGCACTTCTACCCCGAGCCAGGCTGCGTCCAAGACGCTGCAGACGCTTCATTCATGAGAGCCACCGCTGCATAATATATATGAATTAATTCATTCATTCAATCAATCTACCATTAATTAGGAATTCTAAAACGCAAATGCACAGGATTTGTGCAAATGCACAGAACATTTGCATTAACTTGCATATAAGGCATTTTAAGCGTCCCGCACATACGCACGGCTCATTCACTCAGCGCTCTTTGCTATTAGATCCAGTGTTTTCTCCAGGGCCTTTGTGGCGTAGCAGGATTGTCCAAGACTTTCGCTTGGATGATCGGGGTTCGAGCCCCAGCCAATCCTCAAATTTTATTAGCGGGGGGAGTATATGAATCAGATTACTCCGTTACTGAATAAAGTTGCATTTTTTTCCTGCAGTTTGGTTGGTGCAGATTGTGAAGTTTACAACAGTTTACTAAAGTCTAGCAAATGCAGCTGAAGCGGAGGTTCAGGATGGTAGACTACCTACGTTATCACACCAGGCTTGACCACGCCTTACTCAGCCTGTCTTAATCAACTCCCCGCAGCCGTGTGAATCAAGCCAGCGTTTAAGAGAACAGCAGAGCACAGCTCACCAAACGGACTTCAAGCTGCAACGGGTTGCTCTTCGTCACTTTGTTTACTCACGCCTCGCACATTGCTCGTCCTGCATGGTCGCGGCTCCTCTTCCACATCACATGTTGGGGGCTGTGCGCCATGGTCGCTGTGTCTCCACCGCGGCTCACCGCGGGTCCTCTCCTGCGGGCTCGCTACCGCTCGTCTCCCCGTGGCCGCTGCTGCTCACGGCCAGGCGTTACTCCGCGCACCCTGCCGCTTCCATACCGGGAACGGGACTTCTATCTGCCTGCCGTTGTCTGCCTGCGCTGTCCACCCTTCTCCATGCCTCCACTCACGGTACAGTGTCGGTTTCGTTGTTGTTGTTCGTTGTTGTTGTTCGTTGTTCCGCACTACCATGAACTGTACTGAACTGCGGCGTGTCAGTTATTCCCGCCGAATTGGCTCGCAGGCTGTGTTTTTACCCGATGCATTGCTCTTCAGGCTGTTCATTTTACCATCTGCACCGGCATTTAGACCGTCCGTTTTCACCATGGACCGCACATTTTAATCACTGTGTTGGCCTTCTGGCTGTCCGTTTTACTCATGGGCTGAACATTCTACACACTGCAGTGACCTCCAGGCTGTCCGTTTTACTATGGACTGAACATTTACCCACTGCATTGACCTTCAGGCTGTCAGTTGTAACCATGGACTATAACATTTGTCGTCTGCATTGGCCTTCGCTCTGTCTAATTGACCGTGGACTGTAAGTTTTGCCCACTGCATTGCTTCCGGGCTGTCCGTGTCTGATGAGCTGCTCTGATTGGTCGGAGCGCGGCCGAGCCCCTCTGTGCTGTTTGTTTGCCCATTGCTTTGGCCTTACGCCACACTTCAACGCCACACTTCAGCGCCAAACATCGACGCCACACTTCGACGCCACGCTTCGACGGCCCCACGCTTCGACAGCGCCACGCTTCAACGGCGCCACGCTTCGACGACGCCACGCTTCGACGGCCCCACGCTTCGACGACGCCACGCTTTGACGGCCCCACGCTTCAACGCCACGCTGCGACGGCCCCACGCTTCGACGACGCCACGCTTCAACGGCCCCACGTGGGTGGCCCCACGCTTCGACGACGCCACGTGGGTGGCCCCACGCTTCGTCGACGCCACGTGGGTGGCCCCACGCTTCGACGACGCCACGTGGGTGGCCTCACGCTTCGACGACGCCACGTGGGTGGCCTCACGCTTCGACGACGCCACGTGGATGACCCCACGCTTCGACGCCACGTGGGTGGCCCCACGCTTCGACGACGCGACGTGGGTGGCCCCACGCTTCGACGACGCCACGTCGGTGGCCGCACGCTTCGACGACGCCACGTCGGTGGCCGCACGCTTCGACGACGCCACGTCGGTGGCCGCACGCTTCGACTCCTCCTCCACGCTTCGACTCCTCCTCCACGCTTCGACTCCTCCGCCACGCTTCGACTCCTCCTCCACGCTTCGACTCCTCCTCCACGCTTCGACTCCTCCTCCACGCTTCGACTCCTCCGCCACGCTTCGACTCCTCCGCCACGCTTCGACTCCTCCTCCACGCTTCGACTCCTCCTCCACGCTTCGACTCCTCCTCCACGCCGCACGCTTTGACGCCGCACGCTTTGACGCCGCACGCTTTGACGCCGCACGCTTTGACGCCGCACGCTTTGACACCGCACGCTTTGACGCCGCACGCTTTGACGCCGCACGCTTTGACGCCGCACGCCTCGACGACGCCGCACGCCTCGACGACGCCGCACGCCTCGACGACGGCGCACGCCTCGACGACGCCGCACGCCTCGACGACGCCGCACACCTCGACAACGCCGCACGCCTCGAAGCCGGCGCACGTCGGCGGCCGCACGCTTCATCGCAGCTCGTCGCCGGCCGCACGCTTCATCGCAGCTCGCCGGCGGCCGCACGCTTCATCGCAGCTCGCCGGCGGCCGCACGCTTCATCGCAGCTCGTCGGCGGCCGCACGCTTCATCGCAGCTCGTCGGCGGCCGCACGCTTCACCGCAGCACGTCGGCGGCCACACGCTTCATCGCCGTACGTCGGTCGGCGCACGTTTCTACGCCGGTGGCTCCTGTTTGACGCCACGTCGGTGTCCGCCTCCTGCCGCATTCTCGACGCCACGCTTCGACACATTCGCGTGCTCTCATCCATTCATCGTGGGACCAGTGTCGACCATGGACACGCGTTCCCTATTGGTGGGTGAACAATCCAACGCTTGGAGAGTTCTGCTTCACAATGACTGGAAGAGCCGGCTCGAAGGATCAGGTCAGTGGTCTGACTGAAGACGTGGTCTGACTGAAGACGTGGTCTGACACTGCCCGTTGGTCCTTTTCACTCGAGTGATAGTGGTTCGAGGTTTCTCTTTTCAGCTTCGCAGGAACGTGATGCCGCAACGCCGCACCAAAGCTCTGCTACGACGCCGCGACGGTGGCCTGCTGCAACGCTGGCCTGCTAAGACTGCATGAGTACTGTTCGGCGTGGCCTTCAAACCTGGCCGACTATCTTCCCCAGGCCGCACTCATTGGCTTTTGGTGTGCAGCACTGCCCGCCACGGTTGCGTGCACTCTGAGTGGCTGTAGGCGGTGCTCCTTCTCATGTTCCCCAGGCATATTCTCTCCTGGTCTCCTGGTGCGGCTCCTGCCGCCGGGCTTGTCTCACGCTTCGCCTTACCTGACGCAACCTGGCCCTCATTCTGACCGGGCCCTTGTGCGTTGGTTTTTGGGGGTCCAGAGATCTCCTATCGAACATCAATCTTCCTGGGTAAGTGTACTTCATGAATCTCATTTTCACCTTCTAGTCTCCCCAAGTGGAATCATGTTCGAATATCAGCGCTCTAAACACCAGCAGTTCATCTTTCATTCAGCATTCTCCTTTCCCTCTCACTGCACACTCTCAGTCTCTGACATCAGCATCGCGGGTACTGCTGTCACTGCCTCAGCTACAGCGGCATTAAATACATTCTCTAAAATCCACTTCGAGTCACACTGCTCCACCCTCATAAGAAGATCCTTAAAGGAGTATTGGCATGGTCCTTGTTCTGTAGTTTAGGTCCTGGACGACTAGCCTGTTTGTCCGTGGAGTGGATCCCTCTCTCATGTAGGGTCTTCCGAAGGTTTCTCACTTTTTTCCCCACGGGGTTTTGTGAGTTTTCCTTGCCATGCAGGAGGGTCTGGACAGTTGGTGTCCAACTAGAAGGCCCGTGGTGATGATCCAGGATACTTTACATTCTACAACATGTATGGACATTTTATCAACATTCATAGACTATAATTACTCCTTAAACAATCCCTTGACGACCCCCTGGTCTGAACAAATTCAAAACCTGCGCTCCCTGCATGTAACCTCTCTTCCTTTCTCTACATCTGCCACTCCTTCCGGATAGGAGCAGCCACTTGGGCTGCTGCCCTGGGACTCCCTCAATCATCTCTCCAGGAGCTCGGTCCCCGGTTCTCTACCACATTCATCCGTTCTGGCAGCCCAGCGCCTCCTCTCATATAAGTACGTATGCATCTCCTGGTGGTGGCAACTCCTCATTCCAGCATGCCGCGCACTCGAGCCGAGCTCGTGCGCGTGCCAACGCCTAGCGCTAGAGCCAAGCTCGCGCACGGACATTACGCCGCGCACTCGAGCCGAGCTCGTGCGCGTGCCAACGCCTAGCGCTAGAGCCGAGCTCGCGCCCGTACATTACGCCGCGCACTCGAGCCGAGCTCGTGCGCGTGCCAACTCCTAGCGCTAGAGCCGAGCTCGCGCACGGACATTACGCCGCACACTCGAGCCGAGCTCGTGCCAACGCCTAGCGCTAGAGCCGAGCTCGCGCCCGTACATTACGCCGCGCACTCGAGCCGAGCTCGTGCGCGTGCCAACGCCTAGCGCTAGAGCCTAGCGCTAGAGCCGAGCTCGCGCCCGTACATTACGCCGCGCACTCGAGCCGAGCTCGTGCGCGTGCCAACGCCTAGCGCTAGAACCAAGCTCGCGCACGGACATTACGCCGCGCACTTGAGCCGAGCTCGTGCGCGTGCCAACGCCTAGCGCTAGAGTAGTAGTAGTAGTAAGTAAGCTTTATTTATATACCGCCTTTCACAGACCAGAGTCACAAAGCGGTTTACAATTGTTATTTTTTGGGCATTTATCTCTCACTCCACACAGAGATGGGAGCAGGGTCGCCGAACAGGACCTATTGTACATATTTTTTGTGGTAGGGGAAACCGGAGTACCCGGAGGAAACCTACGCAGACACGGGGAGAACATGCAAACTCCACTCAGAAAGGCCCTGGTCCGGCCGGGATTCGAACCCAGGACCTTCTTGCTGAGAGGCGAGAGTGCTATCCACTCAGCCACCGTGCCGCTAGAGCCGAGCTCGCGCACGGAAACAGTCACTCACACCATGCGCCTTCCATAAACGCAGCAACCAAGTCGTGGCAAACGCATCGCTAGCCAAGCTCTCTTTTTGGGGATCATGATCTGCACCCAGGCGCAGATCTCTTCAGAGCACGGCCACAGCCGGGGCCTAAGCTCCAAACCAATAAACAAACTCAATCCATAAAATAAACAACTCTTAAACGCATCTCGTCTCTTGTAGTCTCTCCAGGTTGAAATGCAGCTGAAGCGGAGGTTCAGGATGGTAGACTACCTACGTTATCACACCAGGCTTGACCACGCCTTACTCAGCCTGTCTTAATCAACTCCCCGCAGCCGTGTGAATCAAGCCAGCGTTTAAGAGAACAGCAGAGCACAGCTCACCAAACGGACTTCAAGCTGCAACCACCTCCTCCCCACCTCCGCCTCAGGATTTCTTCACTCACATTCACCTTGCCTTGTTGCCACCACCAGTGTCTAGGCCCCGGGGATCATGATCTGCACCCAGGCGCAGATCTCTTCAGAGCACGGCCACAGCCGGGGCCTAAGCTCCAAACCAATAAACAAACTCAATCCATAAAATAAACAACTCTTAAACGCATCTCGTCTCTTGTAGTCTCTCCAGGTTGAACTATGTGTTGGCCTAATTACTAAGTTTTTATTTTTTTAACACTGGAGAAAACGTACTCGGTTTCAGGTGGGAGTTAAGAGGTTAAAAGCAGAAGATTTTCCGACAATGTTCCTAACCCTGCAAAGATAAAAAGCCAGTACAAAAGTGGAATAATTTTATCTTCATAACTTGGTGCTGATTGTGGAGTTGTATCAAAAGTCTTTAACTTGTACTCGAACCCAGGTCCTCCTGCGCCAAAGACTTGAGCTTTATGACTGGGTGTCATAAATCTCAAGGTGGCACTGCTCACCTGGTGGTTTTTTGGGTCATTGCAGCATCACTGGGGGAAAAAAAAATAAAAGACGCGTGTTTCACACGAGAGTCTCGTGCTATTCACGTGTGAAAGGCGACAATACGAAATGGGACATACTGTACATACGTCACATATACATACGTCACATATACATACGTCACATACACATACGTCACATATACATACGTCACACATACATACGTCACATATACATACGTCACATACATACGTCACATATACATACATCACATACATACGTCACATACACATACGTCACATATACATACGTCACATACACATACGTCACATATACATACTGTACGTCACATATACATACGTCACATACACATACGTCACATATACATACTGTACGTCACATATACATACGTCACATACACATACGTCACATATACATACTGTACGTCACATATACATACGTCACATATACATACGTCACATATACATACGTCACATATACTAACGTCACATATAAATCCCATGTTTTCAGGCTCAGAGGTGAATCTACTAAACTCCATCCTCTTCAGAGGAGCTCATACTTGCTTCGTCAGTGAGATTTCGTGGTATCCATTGCTCAACCGGGAAGTAAACAAATTACTGCCAAGTCAATGGGGGTGGAAAACCAGGCTCACCATGCTTCTAATTGATTCCCTTGGGCCCCTGTACGCTGCAGTTAAATCCAGAGAAAATAAGTCTTGTCTCCAGGACATGGCGCTCGGCTCTGACCCTACTCTACCTTTGCATGGATCAGCTTTTTGACGCTTGGAAAGACATGACACTCCTGGTTATGCCCACTGCCTCCATTACCGTTTGCATTACTTATACCGTCCGAAAAAGAGAATCATTAATATGTTTGCTTTAAAATATGTATTGAATTTTTTATTTTTTTTATGAATGCTGATGTTGTTTTCTCCCATCGGGGAAATGTGTGAATGTCGAGTGAAGAGATTAGAAGTCAAAGTGCAAGCTAGAGGCACAAGAAAACAGCGATTATTTATACTATTGTAAATTGCAGATAGAAGAATTTTGTGATCCATATTTTTACTGCTCACAAAACACAAGCAGGCGTCTACATTTAACATGTTTTCATAGTTTGTTTAGGTCACTTTACTTTGCCACTTCAGCCCAGACCCTCACGCAAACCCTATGCTCATTTCGATGTCCCGCCCTCCACCGTTTCACCAATCAGAAAGTCCGTGATCCGGGCGCCAGAACTCACCGCATGGAGCTAATCTTACTGGTAAAGTACCATGTGGCGCAGAACTAAAAAAGGTCTCGTTATGATTCTCAAATCATTAACGACAAAACAAGGAATAAAACCAGGATTTCTATCTTTGTGAAAAAGGTGTTGGTTATAGATTTGTTGTTGACAAAACTCTTGTCTATTCAGCTGTTATGGTCCCAGCTGGATTCGTCTGCATATCTGGCAACCTGAGTCAGGGAGAGTGGGAGAGGCTGCAGTACTACTTTAGGCCACAATTTTACATGCTTCTCCTTTAAGTGAGTGTGTCTACTGGGATTTGAACAGCCTGAGCCTGGTGCCACATTCACCTGCTCTACCCACGGCACATGCCACACAATTGGAGGAAGAAGGAAACCGGATCCTAAAATTAGCCAGAGAGCGCGAAGGAAGTGACAGATGGAGTCCAACACATCGGAGACATGTGGGGATAAATATCGGTGATGTGTGACGGGAGAGCATCTGCAAAAAGGTGGAAAGATGCAACGAGGAGCTGTTAAAATTTGAATATGAAAGAGACAGGATCCTAAAGGTTAACTTATCACATGTGAAAATCATGTGTTTTACCATCGAGTTGATACACTGCAAAACATGATCAAATATGAGGTAGTATTTGCTTGACTCAAGAGGTTTTTATCTTGTTTTGAGCACATTTTGACTGTTTTAACCCTCGAGGCGCCAAGGTTGACCTTTCCCATTTCCCTGTGTGTTGTGTTTGTGTACCCATGTCCTGGTGATTTTCAGGTCTGTCAGTCACAAAAAAAATACATTTCATGAAAATTCTAAAACCCATGATTGCCCCCGCCGTATGATGTAATAATATGCAAATTAGATGGGTCAATTTAATCCCTACACAAACTTTGAGCCATCCTTAATATTTCTCGAATTTACAGAAAGCCTCAGTCTCTCATCACATTTTAGTTATAGCCTTTGGAAATGAAGATAAAAGGAAAAATCCTCCGGCGCTTAAAGGGTTAAACACAATTCTCCAATGGGACAAAGTTATTTAGTCTTAATTCAAGAACTGTTTCCAAGAGAGACATATTTTGAATCTTTTTAAAACAAGATCATTTTGCTTTCGTCCCGTTTGCAAATCTTGTTTTAAATCTCAGTCAGAATTATGTCAGATTAAGATCAATTTTGCCACATTTGAGCCATTTTTCATCACTTTTTTTGCTGTGGAACATTTCAAAACAACTGAAAATCTATTAAATGTATTTTTGTGTAGCCCTGAATCACAACAACAGTCATCTTGTTGTTGATTTGTAAACACAGATCAGAGAATCAAACCATTCAAACACACAAAATGCATTAAAAACAAACACACAGGTTCCAAAGTCCATAAATGTTAATAGCTATGTCCAATCCACTTCATGTATCAAGTGGCATTGTCTTTCTTTTGTTGGGATTAATGTGTGGAGTGAGTTGGACCAAGAGCTAAAAGACTGTAAAACCTTAATTCAATTTAAAATTCTTTTGAAGAAATCAATTATAAAAAAATACATTGAGAATGGATGCTAAGGATGCAAACTTAAGATGATAGATTGTTTTTCTTTCTTCTTTGTGACGATCTAAAAACAAAAATTGTATAACTACTTGCATAAGACATTGGCAGCTTTACTGTTTATGTTTTGTAAATACTCTGGGATAGGCGCAATAAGCTTTAGCTTCTGCCTATTCCATTTCAGACTTTATGTTTATTTATCATCTGTTTGGCATCTGTTGAATGTTTGAATGTCTGAATAAAATAATCTGAATCTGAATGTATGGAGCACATTTAAAGGATAATAGTGAATAAAACAAGGCAATCCAGGAATTCTGCGTTAGTTTGGTGATTGGAAAAGCAAAGAAATTCAACATGACATTATATAAACCTTCTACAAAATACTTTCAATGACGTCCGTTCATACACTTCTTACATGTTTGGAAATAACTGATTATGTTATTATTAAAACATATATTTCAGGCATGAGATCAACTTTGCTTTTGCGCAGAGCGAGCGGCTGGAGAGAGGTGTGTGGTCAGAGAGTGTTTGGGCCTGTGTGTTGTCAAGTGTGTGTGTTGATTTTGTGTGTATCTTGTTTATACCGTTTTCTTTTGCATAATGTTTGAAATATATTCTTCTTATTTACTAACTTTTCCATGTGCTCTCTACAGCGGACGAAGACCAAAAACTAGTTGAAAAATGAGAAAGTTTTCCCCGATACTTCACATCTGTATAGTTTGAAAAGACGACACAAGTCAAACTATGTCAAAATCAACAATATTATGAACCTTTTTCAATCCAAACATGTAAATACTGTTGCAAACTGAATGACGTAAAGTTAAAGTGACAGAAACAGTTAAATCTGAAGCACCGAGCCACAAAGAACAGAAAAGTAAAATCCGTCTCATTCCACAGTTTTCTTCCATCACTAGTTTTTACAAGCATTTGTTTTTGTCACTTTTTAGATCAATTTTTCTGACAGAAACGAGAAAAAGCCCGGACCCCGTCTCTCAGCCAGTCTGCTCTAGAAACCGAGCTTTTTCTAAGAACAAATAACGACCAAATTGTCCAAAAAACTGTACTTTTACTTCGACTCTTTCTGTCGGAACAAACACAATGTATTATTAATGTGAAGTAAGTGAGGTGCCCCAGCTTTAAGAGAGTGTCCCGGACTTTAGTGAAGTCTGTTTACCAAACAAGTTGTGTAATCTAGTATATCCCGTCAACACAACACGACACAAAGTTTGAGATTGACCAAAGAGTGTGAGCCGCGTTCAAAACACGACCTTTCACTGAGACCCACTCAGGAATACGTTTGGTTTATTATCCACCGCCATTAGGACCAAATTATACATCCTCACACACTATCGTTCAGACAGAGACGCACACACACACACAAGCTCACACACACAGAGACACACACACACACACAGGTACACACAGACACACACACAGTCACACGCACGGAGACAGACAGACACACACACACGCATACAGACACACACACGCAGACACAGGCACACACTGACACACGCACGGAGACAGACACACACACACACAGAGACACGCAGACACACACAGACACTTATCGCTGTCGTGTTGTTTCAAAGCAAACCAAGGCCTATTACATCAAAAGTCTCATCATCCACTCAACGTTATTTACATTTCATGAAATATCTGTTGTTTTCACCAAAGTCTCATCCACAAGTTAAAAAACATTTAACCTAAAATTACTGTCAGCTGCAGCCAAATACCAAAACATAACTCAGTCTCATCCACAAGTTCAAAAACATTTAATCTAAAATTCACAAATTACAGAGAGTAGTGCTATGAGACTTGGAAGGCAGTGGGGGGGCTACAGAAAGTCTAATGTGTGTTATGTAGAAAACATGAATCTTCTGTTCACTGGTGAGTCACTCTTTGGTGTTTTGGGCTGAGAGCTGATTGGCTAAGTCCCGTGTTAGGGTCTGAAATATACCCTGGTTTCCTCCTGAGGTCTATGGACTCATCTCTGTCACAAGAATTACAACACACACTCTCTTTTTATATCAATCTGACCTAAAGTTGTGACAGAGCCCAGAAATCAATCAACTATATGGGATTGATTTTAAGATTCAAAATTCAAGATTAATGTATTATATTTGTATGTCCCGTAGTAAATGTGGCCGCTGCTCTGAAAACACACAGAACACAGACAAAAAACACAAGTTCCAGGTGAGAGTCATACATGAAGTTCCCTATGAGCTTTACTCCCAAACTCATGAATTCGCCTCTCAACAGCCTGGTTTGGAACAGCACAGACTGACCCTCCATCACAAAAGTTACATAGATCATCTTTAAATCGCTCTTTCTGCTCAATTAAGTGTAATTAGTCACGGCACAAACGCAGCTTTTGGCGAAATCTCAGGTCTTCAAACCACATCACAAAGACACTTAACCACAGCTTCAAAAGGAGAAAAAAGAGAATTTCAACACTTTCGGAAACATGCCAGCAGCAAAAACAAATCCAGAGACTGTAGCAAACTGTAGCCATGGAGAAGCCAAGAAACGGGAAAGTCCAGCAAGGTTTGGGATCAAAACACAACAATGTAGTCCTTTAACCCGGTGCCATCCTCACACAGTGGAAAAATACCCTAAATATTTTTTTAGCTAAATGTTGATGATTTTTCTCTAGCTGGACCGCCTCAGGGTCATTTAGAACATTTTAGACCCTAATTTACTGCATTTTTATTCTACCTTTCAATAATTGTGGCAGGTACTGTACATTTGACCCAAAGCTAGCACAAGAGCTCGTACCAGTGATTAAAGTGGACTATTATAGACCCTAAAGCTGGGTCTGAAACAGTCATGACCAAGGGCTGGTCAAGTCAGGGATAATCATCAAAATTCAGCTTGAAAAAATAAGAAATAAAATAGGGTAATTTGAACTCAAGGAAAGCACAAGAGCAAACACCAGTGAAATTATTTTAGACCTTAAAGCTTTGGGTCTGAAACAGTTGACCCAGGGCTGGTCAAGTTCAGGAAAATAATCAAAATTTAGCCCAGGAAAAAAACAATATTTAGGGAATTTTTAAACCATTGTGGAGGGTCATTTTAACTCCAGTATAGCACAAGGGTTAATACAGACACAGTTATTATTATCAAGTGGCCACGGCGTATCTCAAACTCCAGAGATACAGAAAACATCCCAGTCCTGGACACACACACACACACACACACACAAACTCCAGAGATACAGAAAACATCCCAGTTCTGGACACACACACACACATATGCAAAACAACCCAGCATCATCATCAGCAGCAGCAGCATCAGCATCAGCATCAGCAGTAACAGCAGCAGTAACATCGGGGCATTCTCTTTCCCGGTGCAAAAACCAGCCCATACAACTTGCCCTTCACACATACCTTTGGTGCGGGCTGAGCTCAGTCCGAGAGCCGCCACCGCCACGATCAAGCCGCTTATCCTCAGCATCTTCCACGGACCCGTGGTGGATCACAGCAAAAAAGCAAGCTCTGGTTTTTGTTTTTGTGGTTTGGTCACTTCTTCTTCTTCTTCTTGTCCTCCTGCTCCTCCTGATACTCTGTGGCTCCGCTCTCTCCAAGTGCGTGTCCTTTTCTCTTCTTCAGGCGCGGATTGGAACACTGTGGGTGAAGCAGCGAACGTGGCGATGTCCGTGAGATGTGCGTGAGGGAGAGAGAGAGAATACGAGAGAAAGAGAGAGAGAGGAGAAACTAAAGTGAGCTGTACCCGGGATGGGACTACAGAGAGGAGAGGACCGACGCACTGGGACTATAGACCGAGGCGCGTCACTGAGAGATCCAAACGCGATCTGCACCTCTGCCTCTCTCCTCTCTCTCTCTCTCCTCTCCCTCTCTCTCCACTCTCTCATCCTCCTCCCTCCTCCTCTTCCTCCTCCCATCACAGATCTCCAGAGCCTCCAAATCCACTCCTGCTCAGAGCGATCGCAGCCTGAGCACAGAGAACATCCACCGCGGACTTTTTGTTCTGTTGTTGTTGGATCGTGAAGGCAGCGGGTCCCTTCAGGCTCCGGGTTGGGTGGGCGATGTGTGAGGCACGTTCTATAGGACGGTTTATGGCTTGTCAAAACAATATGTGATGATTTACAAATGTAACTGTGAATGATTCAGCTGAAATCATGTGTTCATTACAAGCAGATTTATTGTATATATATAGTATATATATATATATATATATATATATATATATATATATATATATATATATATATATATATATATATATATATATATATATATATATATACACATATACATATATATATATACATATTATTTTCTTTATTTTTTTCTTTCATTCGTTTGATTTATTTTCTATTATTTATGTATATTTATTGATGTGTGTATTATTTGATTTTAATGCGATTATTTATTGATGCATTAATTTAAATGTAGTTTTTATTTTATTATATATATATATATATATATATATATATATATATATATATATATATATATATATATATATATATATATATATATCTCCCTCCAGGAGAGGGCCTGGAGGGTAAAGGTGACAGTAGTGCCCGTGGTGATCGGTGCACTCGGGGCAGTGACCCCGAAGCTAGAGGAGTGGTTACAGCGGATCCCCGGAACAACCTCGGACATCTCGGTCCAGAAATGTGCAGTGCTAGGAACAGCAAAGATACTGCGCAGAACCCTCAAGCTCCCAGGCCTCTGGTAGAGGACCCGAGCTTAGAGAGGGATAACCGCCCGCGGAGGGCCAAAGGTGAGATATATATCTATATATATATATAGATATATATATCTATATATATATATACATTCAGAACATTCAGACAAGAACAAACGTGTTCAGATCTATCTGACACTAATCACTGTCTGGTTAAACTGAAACTTATGGCGCCACCTGCAGGTTTTCTGATTATTCTATTTTTTAGATAAAAATAAAGTGTCTCTGATCCTTTGGACAGAGTCAGAAAATGAGAAACTTTAAAACCGTTTCTTCACATTAATCTAGAGACAGTTTCATAAAAGTCATTTTGTTCTGACTTTCTCCTCACAATGAGCCCCTAGTGGCGGAAGGAAGGAGCAGCGTCTGCAGTCAGAGCTCTATCAGACTGTTGTAGAGGGAGCAGCGTCTGCAGTCAGAGCTGTATCAGACTGTTGTAGAGGGAGCAGCGTCTGCAGTCAGAGCTGTATCAGACTGTTGTAGAGGGAGCAGCGTCTGAATTCAGAGCTCAGAGGGAGCAGCGTCTGCAGTCAGAGCTGTATCAGACTGTTGTAGAGGGAGCAGCATCTGAATTCGGAGCTCAGAGGGAGCAGCGTCTGCAGTCAGAGCTGTATCAGACTGTTGTGGTGAAGAGAGAGCAGCGTCTGCATTCAGAGCTCAGAGGGAGCAGCGTCTGAGGGAGAGGTCTGTGGCCATAGACGTCGGAACTAGGGGTGCGGGGGGTGCGGCCGCACCCCCTCCGCGTGTGCCGGGAGCGAGAAGTTATTACTATCCTGCGTTCCTTGCAGCCCAAAACCCGCTCCATGCTGTCGGAGAAGCTTATGAAGCTCTGTCTGGCTAATATCTGTCGCAGCCTCTGAGCGCTCTTTCTCAGCCTTGCGCAGATTAGAGACCTGGCTACACCAGTGACGTGCGGTGGGGGATCAATCATGTGTTCATATGATTATACATCATATAAACCAACAGGACCTACAGGAACAGGAGCGGCTTATACACAATTTGTTTGGCTACAGCAGAATATGATTTAATGTCTGCATTGTTTTCTCATACAAAACGCAAACGTTTGTAAAAAGTACAAAGTGTGTTATGGGCCTTACCTTAGGTATTAATGAACAGCACAGACCACTTCAGTTAGGACCAGTTTCATGTTTAAGTCCAGATAATAGTTTGAGCACAGACATGTAATCCTCCATTTGGAAATAAGTTCAATGAGTTTTAAAAAGTAAAAAAAACGGGTGTCTCCTCCCGTCACTGGGCTACACAACACAATGAAGCCACCGGAGAGACTGACGCATGAATGCGTATTGAAAAAAAAAAAGTTCAGTTTGATAAGTGACTCGCTTGATATATATTGTTTATTTTGTTTTTCTTAACAATTAAGATGGTATGTTATTATCCAGTGTAATCCAAGTATGAGTCTCTCCCTCGACTCTCCCAACAAAAACCCGCCCCCCCTCTCAGAAAATAGTTCCGACGTCCATGTCTGTGGCCGATCCATTATTATTCAAAGATGCCTCAACTGTCCTGGAGTGAACAGCTTAGTTCAGATGTCACTGATTTGAATGGAATCAGCTCACTTTGGTTTGCAAAGTGAAGAAGAAGAAGTTATTTGATCTCACAATGGAGAAATGGTTTGTACTCATACAGGACCCGATCCAGGAACCCGATAGCCAATTTTTTAATTCTATTTAGCGTCACGACAGCAGAGAGCTGTGCAGCACATGTTGCCATGGTGATCTCCCAAAGCCTGCTCCATAAAGCGTTTGCCGCTAGCTTAGCAGCTAGCTTAGCGGCAGACGACCGACATAGTTTTTGCGAGTGAGAAGAGTGGGTGCGTACCGATGTTCCCCGGGTCCGATGTTCCCCGGGTCCGATGTTCCCCCACTTCTATAGGCGGGGGAACATCGGACCCGGGGAACATCGGTACTTCGCGTATTAAAAAGTCCCGATGTTCCCCCGCCAATAGAAGTGGGGGAACATCGGGACTTCAACAACGAGACTAGTCCCGCTGTTCCCCGCGTGCGCCCTTTGATGTTTGATGTTTCCTCCTCCACGAAAGATGGCATATGATCCGCGCCAACTTTTGTGAGAGAAAAAATACTAACTAGCCTAAGCCTATTTACTTTTCTTTTTCCCTCTCGCTCTTTGTGTGCTCATATTTCAGCTGATTGCAGCTTGAGTCTATGCAGGATATTTTTGGGCATGTTATGGGCATGTTATCTCCCCTTGCTCACTCTCCCATGGGCATCTATATTTGACAAGTCTGACTGAATAAAATGAGGACGATTGAAACTAGAGCTACTACATCTGTTAGCCTATAGTTTTTCCAAATACGTGGTTTTGCTGAGGGCACTGTGCTTTTACGCATAATGGACACGCATATGACGTCGTTTTTGTTGTAAAACTTGAATATGCTCTTTTAGTTTTAGAGATATTAATACATATTATTCTATTCAGAATGCGTGCGTCATTGTGCATTGTTGTCCCGCCTTACGTGTCACTCACAGTTAAAATGTAACTAACCAATTCAAACATAGCATTTTTACAACTTGAACTTTAAGAAAAAAATGATCAAAGGAATCATTTTGTAAAATAATAGTGTAAAATAAGATCGGAAAAGCTCAATTCATGATTGTTTAATTAGGTTTCCCATTTTTAAATACAATTGGAAACGCTCAGAATTCAAAAATATTGAAAAGTTTATTGGCTCCTACAGTGGGGGGAATAATAATAATAATAATTATAATAATAATGATATAACCCCCTGAGCATCATCACGTTCCTAGTTGCTTCAAATATAGTCCTGTTTATTGGCTGAACAATTTTGTCCAATATCATATCACACAGCGTGAAGCGAGAACCAGCTATTCCTCGTCTTAAAGATTGACAACGCTCTCAAAGCATTCACAACAGAGCAGCCTTTTTCATTTTAATTTTAAGAAAGTTCAGCGTGAACTTTGTGAGGTAGAGGAGCCAGAGGCCCGGGCCCGTAGGTCCCAGAGGAGGAGAGCACGGTCAGGCCAGGCTCGCCTTGCACTGATGAGGTAAACTCTAGGCCTGTGTGAGACACACTGTGGGCCTCATGTATGAAACCTGCGTACGGCCAAATCAGGGTGTAAATGAGGCGTACGCAAAATATTACACTTTTCCGCATTTATCTATCTGGACGTGAGCGTACAATACGCAAAAAATATACGCCAGGTCTGGAGGTGGTGTAAATCTATACGCTGAACTCAACCTTCGGCACAACACGCCAAAACACGCATGAAATTCAAGATATGGACAACAATAAACATATTCCCTCTGGCAAAATTATATGCTGTGTTTTCATTGAGGATCATGTTTCAAAATTTGAATTTGCGCATCAGAAAAAGTCTAATGGAAACACGCAAACTTCGAATAAATCACAGCTAATGATGAGGACCCTCTATTAAATCTGACTTGTGTGTGTATTGTTTTGATCTGTATGTTTTTAAAATGTGAAGCGCTTTGTGATCCTGGACAGTCAAATGCTCTATATAAATACACTTTACGCAACAGGGATGTGTGACCCGTCTATTGCTGTGGCAGGCTCTGCGCTGCGTAATTACGCACGGCTATTTGTATTCCTCATTCACATCTGGTAAAGCAATGTGTTATTTCATTAGATTTGTGTAAGCCTCACACAGACACACACCCAAATAACGCATCGATGGTATTGCTCACTCAAACGTCTCACTGCCCTGTCCAGAGTGCGCAGCGAGTGCCGTGAGAGGTCGCGCCACATGTGCAGAAGTTTTGGCTCCAGAGTTTCTTTGTGAAATCTGAACCGCAAACGCTCTCTGAAGTGTACAGCGCTTCAATGCGCACTTCTACCCCGAGCCAGGCTGCGTCCAAGACGCTGCAGACGCTTCATTCAGAGCCACCGCTGCATGATATATATGAATTAATTCATTCATTCAATCAATCTATATTTATTCACTTCTACAGTTCAAGAAAGATTTTTCTAATGTATCAAAACATTTTGGCAAATTTGTTCAAAACGCAGCTGAATATATAGCGCATATTTATTAATACATAAACATGAACAAACAAACGTGCCTTTTGAGGCTTCCAAACAGTCTTTTTGGCTGGCTTCCTGCTGACCTGTCACGAAGACGTGACGTGAAACACGCGATTGCTGCATAATTGATTTATCAACACCCGCAGCTGCGTACGCTCAGAACTGGGCGGATCTCACATGTTCATAAATCCAACGTTGGATTTTGCGTAAATGGAATATACACCCAAAATGTACTTTTTCTACGCAAGTTTCATAAATGAGCTTGTGTGTATGTGCGCGTGTGAGTGCGTGTGCGTGCGTGTGTGCGTTTGAACCATATTCTTTGAAACCCCAATTCCAGTTAGCCCTTGTATGAACGGAGGGAGATATGTTTCCAAAAAGAAAAGGTGGTGGAGCTAATTTTACTTTTCTTATCTGCAACACGTTCTTATTCTGAGGTGGTAGGTTGGAAAAATGTAGTTGGCTACTACAATGCGAGATCTACAAGGCTTATAATATAAAGTATTCAGTAGCCCTATAGACTAGTTATGAGCGAAAGCCGCTTGTTGCTCCATTATCCGCGCGCAGCAATAACATGTCTATGAGCGAGGCCCGCAGTCGGGGAACACCGGGCCCTCCGGCGTTTGGAAGGTCCGATGTTCCCCGCCCCGGGGAACACCGGACCCGGGGAACATCGGACCCGGGGAACATCGGACCCGGGGAACATCGGACCCGGGGAACATCGGACCCGGGGGACATCGGACACCGGGTCCGATGTTCCCCGGGTTCCCCGATGATCATCGGGCCGACCCCCGAGCGATGATCCGAGTGGTTAGCATTAGCACCGTTAGCGAGCGATGATCCAAGTATCGTCTTCCACGTGTCTCAAAAGTGTCATGGCAGCTCCTCTGGCATGAACCCAACTCTAACCTGTTTCTCCCAGACTGCCTGCACCCCTCCCTCACACCTGGCCCCTCCCCACACCTGCACCCCTCCCTCACACCTGGCCCCTCCCCACGCCTGCCCCCTCCTCACACCTGCCCCCTCCCACACAACTGGGTCGGCACTAGATCATATACGGAAATGGGACGAAACCGGAAGTAACAATCCTACTTTCAAATTAGTTTTAGACTAATAAGTCCTTAAGTCTGGTTCATTCCTGACAGATTTGGTGGAGAGATGCGCGGCTCAGTGTGCGCCAAACTCTGAAAGTTTATTTAGGTTACTCTCAAGTTCCAGTGGTTTCTGATGTTTCTTTCTCTCAAACCAAAATGGAGTCCGTACAGTTATATAGACTAAACCAGGACTAAACCAGGACTAACAAAGGGGCTCAGAGCTTGTGAACATGTCTACACTAATATTCTACCTTTACTGTAAACAAGTGATGCTAACGTGCAGCGTTAGCATCAAAGCTCCGCCCACCACCTCCTGTCTGTGTTTTCCCCATAGACTGTATATATTAACGGACAGAGTCACGCCTATCTCCGCCGTTCTAACTAATGGGCCGAAAAATGTGCTCTACTGGAGCAATCCAAAATGGCCGCGAGTGGTCCCGCCCACAAGAAAATTGTGAAAAAACGCATATGCGCATGCTTCAGCCGGCGCAACTCCATTCATTTGAACGAGAGACTTCAAAAATTCACAGCAAGTAAACTAGAGTGGACCAAAAAAATATACCCCCCTCAGCATTGACACGCATGTGGAACGGAGCTTTGGGCCAAGAGCCAACTTTTGGTCAATCCTGTAAAGACGTTTTCGAGAGGTCTGCCAATGCTATATGTTAGCATTGGCTAATTCTACTTCTGGGTCCACCCCCATCGGCCCGGGGTGGTATTGCAGCATGTCAGCGCACGTCATTTTGGCCACTTTTGAGCTGGGACCAACCCCCACTGGTTTTCCCCCATCGCAGCAGAACTAAACTCAGCTGATATTTAGTTAACTTCCTTTTGTCTTTGCCTCCATCACATCCATGCATCTGCTTTTGTTGACGTATAAAAACCATTGAACTGAAGCGTACGGGACTCTAAACACTTCCCTGTTGCTCTATCTCATTCATCCTCCTGGTTCTGCGTGTGCTGCCACCGAGCAGATTAATAATAACTTTTTTTTCAATTTTCCCGAGTGGCCTCTATCTCAAAGGAACAATTCTCTTCCCACTATCTTTTTGCTGGTTAAGGATTATTCTGGGAGGCAGGAGGAATAAGGTCTTATCTCCAGGGAGAAAATAATACAGAGAGATGACAATGGCCGCTTGAACGCGCACCATTGAGTGATGAAATTAGATGCTGGTCGTATTCTCTGAGTTTAGTGTCCACAAAGAGGCTTTCGGGAGGCGTAGAATAAAGCAAACATGATTACCAAGTCCTCTTCTCTGCAGGACATTGTTGTGGTAAACTGCATCTGGACGTTTCCTCTGTTCATGGCATCGGCGTCGTATCTATTTATTTATTTGACCGGGACAACACACATTAATGAACAATCATATACAAGTTTTACACAAATTGTAAATGTGCCAGATTGTAGCAAAACTGTTACAAAATAACAACAAAAAACATTTACAAAAATAACAATATACAACAATATAGTCCTCTGACTGACCTCCTCTGACTGACCTCCTCTGTCTGACCTCCTCTGACTGACCTCCTCTGACTGACCTCCTCTGACTGACCTCCTCTGACTGACCTCCTCTGTCTGATCTCCTCTGACTGACCTCCTCTGTCTGACCTCCTCTGTCTGATCTCCTCTGACTGGCCTCCTTTGACATCCTCTGACTGACCTCCTCTGACAGACCTCCTCTGACTGACCTCTGTCTGACCTCCTCTGACCAACCTCCTCTGACCGACTTCCTCTGACTGACCTCCTCCGACTGACATTACAGTTTGTCCAAATGTTGTTTTTCTGTGTGGGACCTCCACATCTCCTCTAGAGGGCGCTCTGGTGCAGGTCTCCACATCTCCTCTAGAGGGCGCTCTGGTGCAGGTCTCCACATCTCCTCTAGAGGGCGCTCTGGTGCAGGTCTCCACATCTCCTCTAGAGGGCGCTCTGGTCCAGGTCTCCACATCTCCTCTAGAGGGCGCTCTGGTGCAGGTCTCCACATCTCCTCTAGAGGGCGCTCTGGTGCAGGTCTCCACATCTCCTCTAGAGGGCGCTCTGGTGCAGAGACCTGTCACTGCTGTAGCTTTATTGTAGTTTGAGAGTGGGGGCAGGGCAATACCATGAAGTGCTCTGTAAACAAGGCAACAGTTTTTTTAAATTTATAAAGTTTTGAAAATTGAGCATTTTGTGTTTCTCCAGGATGTTGCAGAGAGGATATGACCAAGGCTTTGATCCAGAATTTTTGAAGAGGGTTTCTATGGATTTGATGTGTGTTTGTCCAGTGAGTGACCAAGGTGTGATACAGTATCTGCGGACAGTTGTGTGTTTAGAATCAGTCTGTGATTGTGATGTGTTCAGGGAGAGAAGAGAAGAAAGACCACCTGGAAATGTAAAGAAAAAGACTTGTGTTATGACTCTGTGTAAAACATGTTTGTGTGGTGTGTGTTCATTTTGTTGTTTTGTGTGTATTTAAAAACAGAGTTGGTGGTTGTGTTTCTATTGTTGTTTGTGTAATTTGTGATTTTTTATGAATATTGTAAGATGCAAAGTCTCAAAAAATAATCTACTCATGGGTACAAATGAAGTCACCTTGACCTTTGGATCTTGGACCTTGGACCTTGAACCTTAGACCTTGGACCTTGAACCTGAGACCTTTGATCTTGGACCTTGAACCTTGGATCTTGGACCTTAGACCTTGGATCTTGGACCTTGAACCTTGGACCTTGGACCTTAGACCTTGGATCTTGGACCTTGAACCTTAGACCTTGGATCTTGGACCTTGGATCTTGGACCTTAGACCTTAGACCTTAGACCTGGATCTTGAACCTTGAACCTTAGTCCTCGGATCTTGTACCTTGAACCTTAGACCTTGGATCTTGAACCTTAGACCTCGGATCTTGGACCTTGAACCTTAGACCTTAAATGTAGATCTCTAAACATTAGTTTCCCAGACTCACGGCAGCACAAGGAGGGGAGGACTTTACAAACTTCCTCAACAACAGATTAGAGAATCAAACTGATTTATTTAATAACAAACAAATAGGAGACATCGGTCCAAAGGAAGCGGGACGACCACTGTCTATAAATGTTTAAATAATGTCCATTAAATGTCCCGGATCATCATTGTCCTTGGACCAGTGGTGGGCAAACCCCGGCCCAGGGGCCAGAGGCGGCCCTTTAGATCTTTGTGTCAGGCCCATTTATGGACAAAGTGATGGTATTTTCACTTCCAGCGTCACTAAGTGGGAGGTCACGGCTCAGTAATATGTGGTTAGAAAATATAATCAATTTGACTCAGAATCCCACAGAATCTCTGAGCAGATTTTTGGAGGTAAATCCAAAGAGTTTTCTGTCATGGTTTATGGCAAGACTTGTCCAAAACTCTTTCTGTCGGAGCAAAAATGTATTATTTATTAAAGGATAAAGTGTGGTTCCAGAGCTTTGCAGGTTCAGTCCGGGAGTGATCTCGGTGTTGTTGAGGTCGATGTAGAAGTGTGAAAACAACCTGACCTCTGCTTCACACCGAGAGCTGGGAAACTGCCACTGTGACAGGTTTTCACATTGAGTCCAGAAACTACTGTCTTTTTACTGCAAAAAGTGGTGGGAAATAAGGTAAAAAATAGCTCAAAGTTGGCGACATGTGTCTTAATTTAAGTACATTCTACAGTAACTGCTTTAAAACAATGTTTACCAATAGAACAAAGTAAAATTATCTTGGTAAAAAAAATAAGAAACGTGTCTTTTAGAGTGTATATCTTGGGGTGTATATAAACCAAGCCCCGGCAATCCAAGATGGCGCCCTATTCAAATGAATGGTTGTGCTCAGTGGCGCTTTGTGACGGCATGGGGGCGCCGAAAGATTAGCGGAAGTTGCCTGGAACTCGCAAAGATCTATGGGAAACTCGCCTGTATTTGGGCATCGTCTGATCCTCCCGGTTCTGCGCAGTGGATGATCTCCCATAATGCGTTGCGCCAAATACACGTGTGTGGGTCTCACATGCACGTGCACAGAGGGGCTCGGCCGCTTTGACCAATCAGAGCAGTTCATCATAGCGGGAGTTAGAGCGAGAGCCAGACAAGCAGAGTTTGTGGCATGACAGAAAGAAAACCGTTATTCAACTACAAGCTAGTAATACCCTATCCAGTTATTATAATAGATCCATGATATATGCCCCGCTGATCCAAGATGGCGTCCTGTTCAAATCAGGTGTTTGTGCTCATTAGCGCCCCCCCCATGGGCACTGACACATTAGTGGAACTCTCCCATATTTGGGCATCGTCTGGTCCTCCCGGTTCTGTGCAGAGACGAGCTCCCATGATGCTTTGCTCCAATATGTGTGTGTCTCATGCACGTGCACAGAGGGGCTCGGCCTCTGACCAATCAGAGGGCAGCGTTCTTATCTTTTTTATTTTGCTTTGGTTTAGTTTTTTATACTTTTTTTTAATTTTCTTTGTTTTTATAGACTTGTATATCTTATTTTGTTACTGTTTTATAAAATGTTCTATATTAAAGAAGTGGATTGGATTAGAACAACCCCCAAAGTCCCACAGTATCGTTTCTTTTCTTAACTAATCTCAGAATGTATCTCCTGGATTCACACAAACTTGTAATTGAAGAGATAAATGAATGCTGGTGAATGTTAATCTTTTTTAAGGATATGTATTAACATTTATATTTATGTAAACTACTTTTCTGTATTCACAGCGTTATACTATGTTTTTATTTTGAAAGGGGAAAAGACCGGAAATGAGTCGACCTGTTGTTACCGTGTTGAGTTGCATTTTTGAGACGGAGCAGTGGAGATGAATAAATTACCTCCAACGATCTGGCTTCATCTTTCTTGTACTCCCATACCCTCGGTTACATTAAAATTTATATTAACATTTATAGACATTGTTCCCGCTCCCTTTGGACCAATGACTCCAGTGTTTATTATTATTATTATTATTATTATCAAACCTTACTCCACATAAGCAGAGATCACCTTTAAACACCACCATTTCCTTATTACGTACCTTTCTATATCACTGTCCAGGCCACAGGAAAAACCTCCCACCTTTTTCCATTCAAAGCTATTTCCCAAATTACAACCCGCTGCAAATGGGCAATTTTGCAAGTTCACTTTTTGGTGCTCTCTGGTTTTCAATGCTTTTTCATTATTGACACACATTATCCCCACGAGGCCGCGAGCAGGTCCAGCGCTCGGGGAATCGCCAATTTCCAGCCGTAAAACTTGATGTGGAGTCACCCTGGGTCCAGTCTCTGTCTCTCCCAGAACCAAACAAAACAAGATAAAGTATAATCCTGGCGCACAGTGGCAGTGGCGGTTTGGTATTTAGACAGTTTTCTGATGCTCTGTCACTGACGCTGACGAGGACATAAGTGTGCAGTGGTCATTATGGGGAGAGATAAACAATAATGTAAGGTACTTCTTTAGCACAACAGAAGTTAATGGGAAATGAGACAGAAAGGGATATATACAGTGTTGTGGAGCGTATGTTTTGGTCTCGGATTCCAGACTACACTAGCCTGGTCTTACAACACCATATAGTACTCATTTAATTTCATACAAAGGTCTGTATTTGCTCCATTCACTCCGTCAACAGGTGGGAGGGGTTAACTCCTTTGATTGAACCCATTGGATCTGAGTTTACTGTGACTGTATGTAATGAGCCCGAGTGAGTCGGTAGCATTTAGCATCTAGCCTAGTTGTAGGATTTAGTGTAGCTTTAGCCATCTCCTTTGCCACTAACGAAGCTCGTGGGGAGTAGAGCCACAACATCTTTGCCAGAGATTACATATTGCCAAACATTCCTCTGGCTCCGGCTTCAATTTCTTGATATAACCAGACCAGAATGACCCTGGTCGTACCACACCATTGTACAAATGACATTTCGTACTAAGGTCTGGACCATAGACTGTATATATTAACGAACAGAGTCACGCCTATCTCCACCGTTCTAACTAATGGGCCAAAAAATGTGCTCTACTGGAGCAATCCAAAATGGCCGCGAGTGGTCCCGCCCACAAGAAAATTGTGAAAAAACGCATCTGCGCATGCGTCAGCCGGCGAGAGCTCCATCCATTTGAACGAGAGACTTCAAAAATTCACAGTTAGTTAACTGGAGTGGTCCAAAAAAATTCACCCCCCTCAGCATTGACTCACATGTGCAACGGAGCTTTGGGCCAAGAGCCAACTTTTGGTCCATCCTGTAAAGACATTTTTGAGAGGTCTGCCAACGCTATATGTTAGCATTGGCTAATTCTACTTCTGGGTCCACCCCCATCGGCCCGGGGTGGTATTGCAGCATGTTAGCGCACGTCATTTTGGCCACTTTTGAGCCGGGACCCTCCCCCACTGGTCTGGACGTGCTCCATTGAGCCCCGTTAACAGGTGGGAGGGGTTAACTCCTTTTGCAGATTGAAACGATTGGATCTGAGTTTACCGTGACGCATACAGTGCGCCCGAGTCTGTTGTTAGCATTTAGCCTAGCCATCTCCTTTGCGGCTAACGGAGCCCTTGGGGAGTAGCGCCACAATTTTTTCCAGCGATTACATTTGCTAAACATTACCCTTGCTCCGGCTTCAATTTCTTGATAGAACCAGACCGGATTTCAAACTACGACCTTCCCGTTCGACGCAAACTCTTGACGTCACCCACGACTAACTACAACACCCGCCTTCCACGCTCTCCGAATGGCCGGTCGAAATTCAACCGATTGGACATCACCTCCCACCCACTGCACAACTGTAGAGGAGCTGAGGAGCTCCTTCAGTGGAAGACTGAGGCACCCTCAGTGTAGGAAGGAGCGCTACCGCAGGGCCTTTATCCCCACCGCTGTCAGACTGTACAATAAGTCACTTTAAGTCACTGTATAAGACTGAAAAAAAATAAAAAATCAAACCTGCACTACTACTATTGACACTATATCTGACTGCCACTTTAAATTGCCACTTTTATTGTACATATATATCCTGCATGTAACATGTTTGCACATTTCCTCCTTTTGCACAATCTGAGTGTTCTATCCATGCCAAACGTGACATGTAAATTTCTCCTTGTGAGATAAATAAAGCACATCTTATCTTATCTTGTAATCGCTAACACAGGGACCAGACCCAGACGTTACATGCAGTGAAATAATGATTGAGCGGAGTGTACGGATGGCTAAGGACAGGCTAGACCAGATTACTTTACTATCACATTCTTCACCAAACTACGAACTTCCCGTTCGACGCAAACTCTTGACGTCACCCACATCTAACTACAACACCCGCCTCCCGCGCTCTCTGATTGTTCGGAGGGGATTTAACAGATTGTAATCGCTAACGCAGGGACCAGACCCAGACGTTACACGCAGGAAATGATTATTGATCGGAGTGTACGGATGGATAAGGCCAGGCTATGACTAAACAAAAGTAGACACATTTTACAATGCAGTGGAAAAGTCTTAAGTCTATGTGTGATAAAGAACATGACAAAGAACTATAATAATATCTTACTTTTGCAGATTTGCTGTGGATTAACCATGGTTGTGTTGTGTTTTTCCTTATTGTGAATTGGTAACACTGAACTTGGTTTGAAAATGGTCTTTTCCTGCTTTTGTGCTATTGCTTGCTTGCAATTGACGTCACTTCCGGCTCATTACATATGCGTATCACGAAGTGATGGTCAGCCGAGCTAGTTGTTCACTAGAGCAGCGTGTTGTTGTTTTAAGTTTTTTAACCGATCGAATCGTGAAACCTTTAATGGATACTTTAGGATTCCTCGTGAAGAGATGAATAAAGAGCCTCGCACTAAGGACTTTACGAAAAGACGCAGGAAAAGTGGCTCGCTAACTATTTACTAGCAAACGCTTTTACATCAAAGGATTATTTATTTACCCAGCCATGCAGTTACAATGCGCAGTTATTACATCCCCATCTTTATTTCATTCATTGTCAGGTATGAGTTGGCGTTTGAAATAAACACTGTGAATGTTTGACCTGAAAAGAACACAGCCACAGACGCAGTGTTTTGTTGAGAATGATAAGTTCATTCACCAATCCTTACTTACACGGCTCTGTACGATGCAGGATTTGTCCTTCAGGACCTTCTTAAACCCACAGACAGACGGAAAAGTTGCAGTATCCGTGTTTTTCCAAACCTTCATTTGTTTAGCAGTGCAAAAGCTTGATGGTAACACTAGCTGTGGATTAGAATCTGAAGTGAATAAAATGACAGTCTAGGATCTTGTCTTGAATTCAGACAGAAGACATTTTTTATCGTCGATGGTAGAGACAGCATAAACAAAGACGTTACAGAATGTAAGTGGCATACAGCGGAGGAATGGAGACTTATTAGCATTATTAGCATGTTAGCATTTGCCGCTGTGCTAGTAGCTTCAACCTTGATATTACCAAAACATGTAGTGGAAAAATTCTGCCTTGTGCATATTGTTAGAACGTTCACCCAAGCCCCGGCGATCCAAGATGGCGCCCTATTCAAATGAATGGTTGTGCTCAGTGGCGCTTTGTGACGGCATGGGGGCTGAAAAGATCAGCGGAAGTTGCCTGAAACTCGCAAAGAACTTTGGGAAACTCGCAAAGAACTTTGGGAAACTCGCAAAGATCTATGGGAAACTCGCCTGTATTTGGGCATCGTCTGGTCCTCCCGGTTCTGCGCAGTGGATGATCTCCCATAATGCGTTGCGCCAAACACGCGTGTGTGGGTCTCACACCGGGTCTCACGCACGTGCACAGAGGGGCTCGGCTGCGCTCTGACCAATCAGAGCAGTTCAGCAGAGCGGGAGTTAGAGCGAGAGCCAGACGAGCAGAGTTTGTGGCACTAAAGTGTGGATTTAAACAAAACCGAAGGATTTAAGAAGAAAAAAAGTTCAGGATGACAAAGGGCACTAAAATCCCCACAAAATCCGACCTTTATGAAAGCTGTAGGTTCTCTGTCAGCTGAGGTCGAGCTGTTTTAATATGCATTGAGTTCTATGGGGAAAATTTCTGGGTAGCCCACGTGAATTTAGTCTGGTTTAGTCTGCAGTACCGCGAGAATCTCCTGAGCACATGAGTTATTCAGCTACAAGCTAGAAATACCCTATCCAGTTAATATAATAGATCCATGCGTTCACCACAGTAGCTTCAAAGTGTCATGAAATATCTAAAAAAGCAAAGAAATACTCGGAAGAGTCGCATTTTCTTCATATATCAGCAGCAACTCTTGCTGGCCTGACCACCACTTCGTCAACCGGAAGTTTATGCGTCACGTGATCGCAAGCAAGCAATTGATGTCCTGATTTACAAAAAGTCACTTCAATGACCTGCACTGGGACTGAGAAAACCCACACTGCTATGGGCACTTTTCATTTTTATTGTAAGAAGAGACTATATTTCTAACCCTTTTAACAGTCCTTAATTAAAGTTATGGTGCTTAACTAAAATACAAACAGCTTCTGTCCAAAAAAATCTTGCTGAAAACAAACCAGTTGTCCGGTGTTTACATGACATCGGTAACTATTATCATAGATCCCATTTCAGATTCTCAAATGTATCTACTGGATTTGTACAAAAACATAATTGAGGAAATGAAGGAAATCTCTTTGGGTTTTTTCCCCATTGCTTTCTTAGGAGTTTAGTAGTTCCTTGCCGAAGCAGGAGGGTCTAAGGACAACACCGAGGTTCACTCCCTAAGGTCCTGAGACTTCTATATGTTGGTTATTATTGTATTTTTATGTTCAAACTGTGTCTTTGCCTTTGAAGAGTTGCAGCATTTTCTCACATGCATCTTCTCCTGTGAAAAACCAACGCAGCTTTGGTTAATGAAGCGTGGCCCGACTCTAATGAA